CCATATATGCCTTTAAAAATTAAAAGATCCTTTTGAAAAGACAACCATTTTATGCAGCTAACAGGAAAGGAAGCATTTTGAGCATTTGATTTCATTTAGCAAATATTTGTCACATAATTATAGGTTTATATCTACATAGTTTTAATTGTGTAATAATTAAAATATGTTTTAAACGTGTATTTATCATCTTGTGTCAGTTAAAACAAAAAAAATTATATGTTTAAAATGTGTATCTTATTATTATGTCTAAAATGTGTATCTTATTAAAATCTGTATACTTATAAAATATGTTTTAAATGTGTATCTTTTTATTACCGTTGAGTATTTTACTCTATAATCTTTAATTTTTGTTAAATTAACAAAAGGTTATACACAGCCACCCTAGATTTTTTCAAAAAATAAAGATCTACTGACGCAAACTCATAAAAATTAAAATATCTAGGAAAATCTTTGTCTGAGTGGTAGGCAACCTTAATAATATTTTGAAGATATATAAATTCCCCATAATATACTGAGTGTTCCATTTAAAATAAAGGAGTAACTTGCTTTTAAAAGTGACTAATATTCCATCTGTATAACTTTTCGGGTCAAATTTCAATTTGGTTTAACATACAATGGTTACTGTAATTAAATATCAGGCTACAAGGCCAACTAAAATTTTGGTAGCTGTTATCGAAATTTAAAATTTACTCTTCATTTTCACAAAATGTGAAATATGTCAAATTCCTTAGATTTTAGGTATATGCTTCTTTAATAAAACTCACCTTTATTTTCTTCCTAGAATCCGAAAATTAATTAATATATAAGGTGTTCCATTAGAAAAAACACAACTTTGATGTGTAACTTTTTTGGGGACACCCTGTATAATTCTATATATTTTTATAAAATACTTTCAGTTAACTGCTTTCAGCTGCCAAAATATCATTTCTATATAAACTACCGTTCTCCTTGAAGCTTCCGCGGCGTATAGAGGCGCCACCCTGTACATAACAATGGCTAAACTAATTTATTAGACTCATTCCACAAATTCCGATTTCCGATAAAAAAATTATTTTGACTGTTTAAAAAAGTACATTCATAATTTGCTTACATTTTCATTTTTCCTAATACCTTATAGAGGAAAAATAAAACCTGATTTTGTTATTGATTACTATTTTGACCAAATACTGAGAAATCCAAATAAATGTGCTCATTTCAGTTTGTTAAAATTTTTATATAAGATGGTTCTTACCACACCCATACAATGATTTAAAATAAAATTAACAAGAAATTAAATAAGATTATCAATTTACCACTCTGTATATTCATACACGTCAAATATATTATATCGTTACGGTTACGACACACAATGGAATGCTCTAAAACTCTTCCAGATGCACCAGCATAGTGTTGTATAGAAAATTTAGTTACTAAATAAAATTCTAATAGAATTTGTAGATCGTTTCCCCTATAAGCTGTTAGTGTGGATAAACCTTTAGCCTCACATAAAATATAGGAACGTGTAATAATGTAGGCCATCCTAAGTGAACAAAAATGCCCATTGAAATATATTTTCTTCTTTCGGCATATAATTGCAGAGTATAATAATTTTTATTGCTCGTTGCGTTGCATAAAAATACTGGTTTGAAAAATTTTCGTTTCAAAAACCATACTTCAAAAATATTCTAAGAATGGTCGTAATTAATTTAAACAAGTAATTATTGCTAGTGTATCTATCAGTGTTTTAGGGTGTAACTAACTTTTTACTTGAAAAAACAAATTTTTTTGTTCTGTAGATACTTTTTGAATACAAAGAGTGAGGCAGTTAAATTAAAAAATCGTATTAAAGTTGTGTATTAAGTGAAACAGGTTGCAAAATTATTTTACTTTTCGGATGTTTTAGGTGGTTATTATCATCCTTATAATACCGTATGATCGAAAAAAAAAACGGTGTCAGAGATGGCTATGAAATGAAGATCGCTGTCATTTTATACGTAAATTTGTATGGGAAATGCCATCGATCGTCATTTCCCAGCCAACTGGACGCCGTTTTTTTCAATCATACGGTATACTGCGATACAATATATTTTGAAATATAATTAGTCGTTTCTATTTAAGATTTAATATTTGTGTTTGATATGAAGTATGAGACTTTTAAGATACAAAGTAAATAACTTTATAATCCTAAACCGAAGATCTAATAGCTTTATTTACAATTTACAATATTATTCACATATAAGTTCGCGACATACCTACGGGGCAAATATATGTATATGATATTTTAGTTCAATGCAATTCTAGTTCAATCACTACCAGAGTCGGTGCTGTAGTTACTTTGCTGTTACTTAAACGGAGTATGAAGGTATTGTCTATGTTTTTCTATTTCTGTAAATTTGTAATACGGTTTTAACACACACAGAAGAAACAACGTTAAAATTCCCTTATTTTCTACTCCAAAAATCGATTTAATAATAATAATAATAATTTCTGTAAATTTGTAATACGGTTTTAACACACACAGAAGAAACAACGTTAAAATTCCCTTATTTTCTACTCTAAAAATCGATTTGAAATTTTGAAGTTTATAATGTCATTTTAGCATTCATCTATGGGGTGTTTCAAAAGTTGTTTTTCTTTTCCGAAAAACCTAGCTCATGTACTGTATTGGAAAGAGTATATCGATTGGCCAGAGGCCGCTATGTCTATGTTTTTCTATTTCTGTAAATTTGTAATAACGTTTTAACACGTCACGTTTTTCTTTCAAACAACCAAAGCGGCTTATTGAAAAAATATTTTTAAAGTGAAACTTCTTTACGCGCGTTGGGAGAATACACGGCCTTGAATTTTTGAATGAAAGCCGCGAGACGCATGCGAGACCGTGACGCGTGATCTAGCGAGAGCAAAAGTGATAGCGGCAGTGTTGTCACAGTTACCCCATTTGGGCTAGATATACCCCTTCGAAAAATAATTTAACCCCGTTATCGAAAAATGAAAAATAAGCTTGTAGCAACTGTGGGTAACGATCTGTGCCATACGTGGCTAAGAAAATCACTATAATAAACTTGAAACTGTTCCAACCTTCATTTCATGCATATTTTCATCGATAGGTTTGTAGCTTCTGAATAACGATCTAGGTAAAACATCTAGCTCATTTGCTACCAGCACAGAATTAGAATTTAGAGTTTAGTTAGTAATTCGCATTTTTATTGAAGGACACTGTAATATTTATATCAAACCCACAATCAACAAGAATATTCGTATAATTTAATAAAATTACTGTAAATCACTATAAATAATGAATTGTTTGTAATTGAGCTGTAATTTCTGTATTATTAATCCGGTAAATGATGAAGATAAACAATTGTGATTGATTAAAATTTTATTTTAAGATAAAACTTTTGTTAACAACATTCTGAGAATTCGAATAATAAATTGAATAATGACAAGACAAGTGACATCTGTCTAAAAAAAAGACAGCGATTTAGAGTGACAATTTGGTTATGTAAAAGAAATACATATTCTATGAGTTTACTGATGTTAGGCAACCAGTAACATTAATTTAAAAATAAATCCCCAACATGCAGGGGCGTAGATAGGTGTATGCTATGGGGGTGGTACTATGATTAAGTCGCAAAAAAATCACCGTCGGAATTTTTTTGTCGAATTAAAACGACGGCGATTTTTTTGTCTTCAAAAAGATATAAAAACATAACACAAAAATTAAAATATAGATTTGTAAATAACATAAACAAAAATGAAACAACGACGTTTATTAGTTAATTTTCTATAAACTATAAAAAAAACTCTAAACTATCAAAAAAACCTATAAAAACTATAAACTATAAATAAAACTACAAAACAAAATCAAGTTTTCTAGTACGCTGTTTGGAAAACCTATCAATAACAGCATCAACATTTATTTCAATATCTTTATGGATATTGATTAGAGTTAACCCCACTAATCTGTACTGGCCAATAAGAACACTTTGTGTGCTTTTAATTAGGTAGAACATATTATAAACGATAAATCAACATAATTAAAAGCATACAAAGTGTTCTTATGTCGGATTTTAATTTAAAAAAATCCTTTCATAGTCAATGACTATTTCAATTCTCGTATCTCGTCAAGCGTCAGGGGGGGGTACTGTCCCCAAGTACCCCCCCCCCCCCTTATCTACGCCCTTGCCAACATGAATAATGAACAAAACATTTAAACAAAAACAGACCACAGACTACAAAAAACAAATTGTTGGTTAGTAGCCGTTAGCAGTAGTCATAGATATAGATGTATTCAGCCGGGTAATAGAAGTATCGTTTTTTAATAAAAATTAAAAACAACACATTATAAAATTATAAAGCTAAAATAGTATACGGTTTTATATTAACTCGAACTAAATTTTTTTTTGAAGTTTATAAAAGGTCTGTTCTCAAAAGAATCCCTGACTAGTCAGCACGTTTCTCATTGGTTAAAATGCGTAGAAACCTGATTGTTAGTCTGGTTTCTACACATTTCAACCAATAAGAAAGGCACTGACTAGTCAGGGATTCTTCTAAGAACAGACCTAAAAAGCATTCATAAAAACATATCGCGGGTGATCTGGCAAATGTTTCTATCTACTGAAACAATAACCTTACAGGAATCAATAAAAACGGTATTTTCAAAAACAGAACAACTTAGAAGGTTGGGCTATTGAAAATATATTATAATGTATATTTTCTATTAAATAATATTTATTTGGACGCAATTAAACTGTAAACTTGTTTATTAATTAGATATAATAAATCAGATAGGACTTTTTGCTTTTGATAAAATTTTTTAACCATTATCGTATCTACTATAGTTTTTGGGACGACAAAAATTAATAAAACGGCGGTCTTTGCAACGATTTTGTTATATCAACTTATAAAAAAAATCACCATACCTAATATTCTTCTCTTTACTACGTGGCTAACTCTCGCACTATTATTACGACGTAACTTAATAAAACTTATATTAGATTATAAACAAAAATAATACTTACGTCCATCTCCGAGGGCCAACGCAGCAAGAACCAAGAAAGGCGCCGATTTTCCAACAAATTCGTACATGAGGCCCCCAAAGGGAGGCCCTATGAGCACCCCGAGGGCAAGTCCGCCCAAGGCTATGCCCATGGCATTTCCTCGTTCTTTATCGTCTGGATATCTTTCGGCCAACATGCCCATTCCGGACACGCTGGAACAGGACGATCCGATACCTTGAAGAGCGCGAGCAATGAATAGAACGCTATAACTTCTTCCAAACGCGAAAACTGAAAATTAAAATACATGTGTTATACGAAATCATAAACTATTCAATCAGTTTGATAGGGTGTGCTACCAATTATTATTATTAAGTGAGGAAATAGTTTATGTGAACTCAATGTCCAATAATAAAAAAACTGACATTTCTCTAACAAAATCTTTTTACAGATGCAAAAGTGGCATTTGATGATAAAATATCAAAAATCTCATAGAAAAAAGGTCCCCAAGTCTGGGCTGGTGTGGGACATTAAGAGCCCCAAACCAGTCCAACTGACTTTGGAAATACTAGACATGAACTTTAAAAAGCTAACTGCGAACTACGGTGGATGTACATTTTTTGGCTATTCACAAAAAAAATATTTTTTTTCGTATGACACAAAACTTCCAGTTCAACATAATAAAAAACTTCTTATTTTGACAACTGTCATAACGGCAAATTAAAAACTCTCTTCACGCTTGCAAAATGTGGGGCTGATAAAATATCGAAAAATTCCAAAAATGAGAGCTGTTCCGAATTCCATTTGTGCTTCAGACGCCGGTGTTTTAGCGCCTCTCCTATTCATATTCATGGCAGGGCTCTCCATTATAGTGGACAAACTGCAGGAGAGAGAATTGGGCATTAGATACAGATACGACGGCGGTCTGTTCAACATAAAAAGACTCAGGGCAAAAACACGTACAAAATTCATCACAGAACGCTGATGATGAGATGACAATTACAAAAAATGTTGGACACATATACCTAGGCATACGAGGCTTACGGCCTTAAGCTAAACATCGACAAAACCAAAAGCATGTGCACTCCCCCGGAAGATCACAACAATGCTATAAAAATCGGAGAAGAGCTATTGGAATATGTAGCGGAATTCAATTACCTCGGCAGTTTGATTTCGGAAAAGGCCAATATCGACTCTGAAATTCAGCACAGGCTTAGCAGCGCCTCAAGAGCATTCTGGAAATTAAAAGACAGGATTTTCTACTATCATGACTTGAGTACCAAACGAAACTTGCCGTGTACCGAGCAATTCTAATCCCCACCATGTTATATGGGAGCGAAACCTGGGTGCCGTACCGCCGACACATGAAGGCATTAAACATGTTACAACAGAGACACCTTAGACAACTCTTAAGAATCCTATGGTTCCATCATGTTTCAAACGTATCGGTCCTTGAGAAAGCTAACTGCGAGAGTATTGAAGTCATGGTTACAAAATCCCGCTTAGGATGGGTTGGTCACGTATGCAGAATGCAAGAAAACCGCATACCAAAATCTCTGCTTTACGGCGAGCTGGTAGACGGTAAGAGGAGGCCGGGTGGACAACCCAAAAGATACAAGAACATTTGCCACGAAAACTTAAAGGGGATTAACATGCAGAATGAGTGGGAAGAACCAGTTCACAATAGAACTCAATGGAGAAGAATTGTAAACTCAGTTAACAGCGACAACCAAAAAGTCAAGAAGCAACAAAGCAATGAGATTTTTGAATGTCCGGAGTGCGGTAGGCAGATAACATCACATGTCGGGCTTTTCAGTCACAGAAAAGCTCATGAAAGAAAACACCTTGCGTGACAATCTTCTGATGCGTGTCAAATACTCGCCAGCGAGTAATGGCAATAGTAGTAGTGTGTTCAGACATACCCATAGAGTGTAGTGATATACGTGGTAATGTTACATTTAAAAATATCAACCCTTATCCACTTAAACTTTTTTGAGACACACTGTTAAATGGAATATATTATCCTGAAATATGTTCTAATATAATAGAGGTCTGCACTTATAAACGAAGTTACTGAGTTCTTTGTTATAGGAGCTAAGTATAATCACTAAGTTCTTTGTTATAGGAACTAGTATAATCTTTGTCAAAATGTTTATGTTTAGTAACTGTACCAAATTTCAACTGGACCAATAACGTATAGTTCTGGAGAATTTGGTGATTGTCAGAAATGTTATATCGGTAAGACATCTATACATTTAAATGTTCGAATTAAAGAATAAAATAATTATTTTGAAAAGGGTATATCGGCAAATCTAGGATCTTTTGTTTTCTGGCTGTTCCTTGAGCAAAAAAAGATTTTTTGACTTCCATAATAAATCGCAGCCATGGTTCGTATGAATGCATTAAGTGATGCCCTTGAATCCATTAATAATGCTGAAAACCCTGTGAAGAGGCAGGTTCTTATCCGTACCCCATTGCAAATAATATACTCCAACACCTTTCCGTTGATGTTGATTTACAACAAAGACTTATTGTCTCTATTCCACTTACATCTAAATCTTTTGTTTTTTTGCCTATTGTTGAAATGTATGTTCAACATGCAATACATTCTCTAAAAAAGTCTGCCTGTTACGATGTATACGACATGAACAGCATAATACTGGATCATACTTCCGCCATATTGATTAATATAACTGTATATATGTATATTTCATGTAAACTATATCATTTATAAATATACAAACCAAAAAATACGAGGAATAATTATGTTTCCATGTATATCTCCATACATATTTATTAATCCGTATATATCTAACTAGCGTGACGTCATAAATCTCGCTCCGTGGCTAATAGAACCGGCATTGGTACATCTTTAGCAAATGTCAAAAGCTGATGACATTTACTTTTTTGTCAATGTATGACAGTTTCGTGTTGATTTTTAATGCAAGAAGAGGAAGAATTGTCCACTTGTTTTAAATATTTTCCTTTTCTATTTCACGAAAGTAAAAAGAGTTACCTATCTGATTCGTTCAGGCTAGTTCAGGCACTCAATTTGAAGAATATCAGTAACTTTTTTGATAGAGGGATTTTATATTTGCCATGTTGGTAAAAAATAACGGTCAAAATTCAAAGTTATTCATTTTATAGACTATAACATACATTTTTAATCTCTGTGTTAGCCAGGGCATTTTTCCAAATTGTTTTAAGTTATCTAGAGTCGTGCCTATTTTCAAGAAGGGCGATGTTAATTGCCCTAGCGACTACCGGCCAATATCAATCGTACCAGTGTTTGGAAAGATTTTTGAAGATATTATAAAGAACAGTCTTGTTCAATATTTTGAGCGCAACAGTTTGCTTGACGTGGCTCAGTATGGATTCCGCGAAGGAAAATCAACAGTTCAGGCTGTAGTCAAGATTGTGGAGGACATAGTCGAGGGCCTTGAGGCTGGTGAGCAGGTCGAACTGGTCTTGTGCGATTTATCTAAGGCCTTTGACTGCGTCTCGCATGATCTACTCATTGAAAAATTGCGGCTTTACGGGATTAGAGGAGACTCTCTAAGGTTGATAGAGTCATATATGCCACTAAGATAACAATCCGTTTCTTTTGACAACGAGAATTCCAATTTTAAATTTATGACTAATAGCGTACCACAAGGTTCTATCCTTGGCCCTATTCTATTTATTATATACAGGGTCCGGCAATAGTGCGTCGGGCATCTGTAGCTCATAGAATAAAAAACTTGAGAATTTTGTTTAATTGCAGACCTAAAGTATGTACCAGGATGAATTTCAGGAAAATATTTTAACTTCTATAGGGTGGCTCAAAAAAGTGTGACTGGATCGGGATGATTTTTTTTTAAATGGAACACCCTGTATATTATTGCATTTTTGGCTTCCTTTCAGATCATTTTACATAATCCTAACATATGAGTAAATCTATGTCGATAGTCTCAGAGATATTAATAAATAAATCAAAAATATATATTTTTCAACCATTATTAAAAAAAATATTAAAAATACAAGAACTGTTCTGAAATGAAAACTATATTAGATATTTACTTTAGATGATCTGTTCTTACTTTGCTATAAATATGGTAATCGTAAATCATACAGGATGTTCAATATTTTACGCCAAACTTTCAAAAATATAAAATAATTTTTCTTGATTTTTTTAAATGAAAGACCCTGTATATTATTTTTTTATTTTATGGAGAATTAAAAAATGAACATTTTTTGTATTTAAAGTATTTTAAAATTTTTAATAGTTTTTCGGATACACGCAATATTATTTCATATGGCGCTTTCAATGGTAAAATACGAGAGAAAAATCATTGGGTGGCTTTGATAAAAATTTACTGTGGAAAATGCCATATGAAATACAAAACCGGGAATATCTGCGAAACCGTTAAAATTTTTGAAATACTCTAAATACAAAAAATTTTAATTTTTTAATTCTCCATCTACTGAAAAAATAATACACAAGGTGTTTGTTCTATTTAAAAAAACAAAGTAAAATTGTTTTATATTTTAGAAAGTTTAGCGTAGAATTTTGAACATCCTGTATGATTTACGATTTTCATATTTATAGGAAAGTAAGTACAGACCATCTAAAGTAAATATCTAATATAGTTTTGATTTCAGGACAGTTCTTGTATTATTAATCATTTTTTTTAAGAATGGCTGAAAAATATATAATTTTTATTTATTTATTAATATCTCAGAAATTATCGAAATATAATTATTCATGTCTTAGGATTATGTAAAGTGATCTGAAAGGAAGCCAAAAATGCAATAATATACAGGGTGTTCCATTTAAAAAAAATCATCCCGATCCACTCACACTTTTTTGAGCCACCCTATAGAAGTTAAAATATTTTCTTGAAAGACATCCTAGTACATACTTTAGGTTTGCACTTAAACAAAATTCCCAAGTTTTTATTCTAGGAGCTACAGCTGCCCGACGCACTATTGCCGGACCCTGTATATGAACGATCTTTTCAGTTTTTTATCTCCTGAAAAATGTATTTGCTATGCAGATGATACTTCTCTGTTATGCCGCCACAAAAATATTAAAGAACTAGAAGAGAATAGTAAGCACATTGTCCTAAAAACTGAAAAATGGTTCTCTGGTAACTACCTGAGTTTGAATTCAGATAAAACCCAAAAAATTATATTTTCCACTACACATAATATTTCTGGTAAGAAAAGTGCTAGAGTTTAGGAATAACACTTGACGGTCAACTTAGTTGGTCCCCTCACATCGAATCCTTACGACCTACACTGTCATCCGC